AGAAAATTTCGGCGCTTGCGATGACGGCCGCGCCTGCCGACAAATGCTAAGGAAGCGCATGGATCCCTACAGGCATAGGGAAAAGTGTCGAACGACCTGGAATTGTTGCATATTTGGGTGGCTCATGCTCAAATACACCCACCAGAGCAATTTCGGCTTGGTTCGAGCGCACAGAAAAGTTCGGGGCCTGCGACCGCGGCCGCGCCTCCCGACAAACGCTAAGGAAGCGCATGGATACCTACAGGCGTAGGGAAAAGCATCGAACGAGCTGATTATTGTTGCATATTCGGGTGGCCCACGCTCAAATACACCCACCAGAGCAATTTCGGCTTGGTTCGCGCGCACCGAAAAGTTCGGCGTCTGCGACCACGGCCGCGTCTGCCGACAAACGCTAAGGAAGCGCATGGATCCGTATGGGCGTAGGGAAAAGCGTGGAACGACCTGAATGTTGTTGCATATTCGGGTGGCCCATGCTCAAATACACCCACCAGAGCAATTTCAGCTGGGTTCGCTCGCACAGAAAATTTCAGCGCCTGCGATGACGGCCGCGCCTGCCGACAAACGCTAAGGAAGCGCATGGATCCCTACAGGCGTAGGGAAAAGTGTCGAACGACCTGGAATTGTTGCATATTTGGGTGGCTCATGCTCAAATACACCCACCAGAGCAATTTCGGCTTGGTTCGAGTGCACAGAAAAGTTCGACGCCTGCGACCGCGGCCGCGCCTGAGGACAAACGCTAAGGAAGCGCATGGATCCGTACAGGCGTAGGGAAAAGCATCGAACGAGCTGATTATTGTTGCATATTCGGGTGGCCCACGCTCAAATACACCCACGAAAGCAATTCCGGCTTGGTTCGCGTGCATTGAAAAGTTCGGCGCCTGCGATGACGGCCGCGCCTGCCGACAAACGCTAAGGAAGTGCATGGATCCCTACGGGCGTGTGGAGAAGCGTCGAACGACGTGAATGTTGTTGCATATTCGGGGGGTCCAAGCTCAAATACACCCACCAGAGCAATTCCGGCTTGGTTCGCGCGCACGCAAAAGTTCGGCGCCTGCGACGACGACCGCGACTGCCGACAAACGCTAAGGAAGCGCATGGATCCCTACGGGCGTAGGGAAAAACGTCGAACGACCTGGATGTTGTTGCATATTCGGGTGACCCATGCTCAAATACACTCACCAGAGCAATTTCAGCTGGGTTCGCTCGCACAGAAAATTTCGGCGCCTGCGATGACGGCCGCGCCTGCCGACAAACGCTAAGGAAGCGCATGGATCCCTACGGGCGTGTGGAGAAGCGTCGAACGACGTGAATGTTGTTGCATATTCGGGTGGCCCATGCTCAAATACACCCACCAGAGCAATTCCGGCTTGATTCGCGCACACGGAAAACTTCGGCGCCTGCGACGACGGCCGCGATTGCCGACAAACGCTAAGGAAGCGCATGGATCCCTATGGGCGTAGGGAAAAGCGTCGAACGACCTGGATGTTGTTGCATATTTGGGTGGTCCACGCTCAAATACACCCACCAGAGCAATTCCGGCTTGGTTCGCGCGCACAGAAAAGTTCGGCATTTGCGATGACGGCAGCGCCTGCCGACAAACGCTAAGGAAGCGCATGAATCCCTATAGGCGTAGGGAAAAGTGTCAAACTGTTAAGAAAGTAGAACTGAACGAGAATGAACAAAGGAGAGGTTTCACTAGCAAGCTGTTGGATACATATAGCAAACCCTAATTGGGCTGTACTCACTATGGAGTACCCCACTGCAGGCTAGACAATAATAACATTCTGACACACCCCCATAGCCAAAGTGGGGTGTAATCAGCACAATGAGCAGTCATAGCAATAGTTCACAATTAATGAGCAGAGCTAGAGGCAGTCACAGAGGGCAAGTGAGGAGGAGGAGGGACTGCGAGAGGAGAGAAGATGGGATGCGACGACTGAAGCTGCAGACACACGGGCAACAGGAGTGCGCACTCAGCGGCTACCGGCGACTAGTGCCCCGGATTACAGGAGTAACAGGCTCTGCGGCTGCGACGAGCGGCAGGAGCAACGGACCCACGGGCGACAGGTGCAGCAACCTCTCTGAGCTACCGGCGGCCACTAGAACCCCGGACTACAGGCGCTGCGGACGACACGACGACAGCCTCCACTCAACCTCCTCCAACTGTCCCACACCCCCCCACACACCCCCTGCTGCACCCCTAGCTCCACTCCCACATCACCCCCCTAGCACCACTCCTTCGGCTCCCCACACACACACCCCCCTGAGCGGCAGCTGCAGCAGCGGGAGACGGAGGAGGAGGAGGATTAGGGGACGGCGCACACAACGGGCACCCCCACAACCGCCACCCCCACACTCCTCACCCCCAAACCCTAAAACGGGTTGCAAGGGGTAGGAGCGCGGGGGACGGCGGGTGGGACGGCGCGCGGCCCCCAGGGCGCCACCACGGGGCAACAGGGGGCCGCGCGACGGGGAATCGGGGGCCGCGCGCGGCTCCCCAGAGCGTCGCGACGTGACGACGAGAACGGGGGGGGGGGATCGCGCGGCCCCCGTGGCGCCACGACGGGCGACAGAAGGAGGGGGACGCGCGGCCCCCGCGACGCCACGACGGGCGACGGGAGAGGGCGCCACGAATGGCGACGGGATGGCAAGGGGGGCGCGCACGGATCCACCGTATAGAAAACCGCCGCGCGCCTCGGGGCGCACGGCGGGCAGAAAAACGCCGCGCGCCCCGAGCGCACGGCAGGAAGAAGACGGCGCGCGCCCGAGGCGCGCGAGAAGCAGAACAGCAGTGGAAGCAGTTAGGTGGTGGGCCCACCCACAGGATCGACCCAAGGGGGTCGACCTGCTCTGAAACCATGTTAAGAAAGTAGAACTGAACGAGAATGAACAAAGGAGAGGTTTCACTAGCAAGCAGTTGGATACATATAGCAAACCCTAATTGGGCTGTACTCACTATGGAGTACCCCACTGCAGACTAGACAATAATAAGAGTCTGACACAAACGACCTGAATATGTTGCATATTCGGGTGGCTCATGCTCAAATACACACACCTGAGCAATTCAGGCTTGGTTCGCGCGCACAGAAAAGTTCTGCGCCTGCGATGACGGCCGCGCCTGTAGACAAACGCTAAGGAAGCGCATGGATCCCTACAGGCGTAGGGAAAAGCGTCGAACGACCTGAATATTGTTGCATACTCGGGTGGCCCATGCTCAAATACACCCCACCAAAGTAATTCCGGCTTGGTTCGTGCGCACAGAAAAGTTCGGCGCTTGCCGACAAACGCTAAAGAAGCGCATGGGGAAAAGCGTCTAACGACCTGAATGATGTTGCATATTTGGGTAGCCCATGCTCCAATACACCTACCAAAGCAATTGTTCGCGCGCACCAAAAAGTTTAGCGCCTGAGATGATAGCCGCGCCTGCGGACAAATGCTAAGGAAGCTTATGGATCCCTACAGGTGTAGGGAAAAGCGTCGAACGACCTGAATGTTGTTGCATATTCGGGTGGCCCATGCTCAAATATACCAACCTGAGCAATTCCGGCTTGATTCGCGCGCATGGAAAAGTTCGGCGCCTGAGATGGCGGCCACGCCTGCGGACAAATGCTAAGGAAGCGCATGGATCCCTATGGGCGTAGGGAAAAGCGTCGAACGACCTGAATGTTGTTGCATATTCGGGTGGCCCATGCTCAATTACACCCACCTGACCAAGTTCGGCTTGGTTTGCGTGCACAGAAAACCTCGGCGCGTGCGATGACGGCCGCGCCTGCCGACAAAAGCTAAGGAAGCGCATGAATCCCTACAGGCATAGGGAAAAGCATCGAACGACCAGAATGTTGTTGCATATTCGGGTGGCCCATGCTCAAATACACCCACCTGAGCAATTCTAGCTTGGTTCGCGCGCACAGAAAAGTTCGGCGCCTGCGATGACGGCCGCACCTACCGACAAATGCTAAAGAAGTGCATGGATCCCTACATGTGTATGGAAAAACGTCAAACGACCTGAATATTGTTGCATATTCGGGTGGCATATGCTCAAATACACGCACCTGAGCAATTCCGGCTTGGTTCGCACGCACAGAAAAATTCGGCGCCTACAATGACGGCCCCGCCTGCCGACAAATGCTTAGGAAGCGCATGAATCCCTACAGAGGCAACGACCTGAATGTTGTTGCATATTCGGGTGGCTCATGCTCAAATATACCCACCTGAGCAATTTTGGCTTGGTTCGCGCGCATAGAATAATTCGGCGCCTGCGATGGCGGCCGCGCCTGCCAACAAATGCTAAGGAAGCGCATGGATCCCTACAGGCGTAGGAAAGGCATCGAACGACCTGAATGTTGTTGCATATTCGGGTGGCCCATGCTCAGATACACCCACCAAAGCAATTCTGGCTAGGTTCACGCGCACAGAAAAGTTCAGCGCCTGCGATGTCGGCCGCGCCTGCCGACAAATGCTAAGGAAGCGCATGGATCCCTACAGGCATAAGGAAAAGCGTCGAACGACCTGAATTTTGTTGCATGTTCGGGTGGCCCATGCTCAAATACACCCACCTGAGCAATATCGGCTTGGTTCGCGAGCACAGAAAAGTTCGGCGCCTGCGATGGCGGACGCATCTGCCGAGAAACGCTAAGGAAGCGCATGGATCCCTACAGGCGTAGGGAAAAGTGTCAAACGACCTGAATGGTGCTGCATAGTCGGGTGGCCCATGCTCAAATACACCCACCTGAGCAATTACGACTTGGTTCGCGTGCACAGAAAAGTTCGGCGCCTGCAATGACGGCCGCGCCTGCCGACAAAAACTAAGGAAGCGCATGGATCCCTACAGGCGTAGGGAAATGCGCCGAACGACCTGAATTTTGTTGCATATTTGGGTGGCCCATGTTCAAATACACCCACCTGAGCAGTTCCGGCTTGGTTCGCGCGCATCGAAAAGTTCGGCTCCTGCGATGACGGCCACTCCAGCTGACAAATGCTAAGGAAGCACATGGATCCCTATGGGCGTAGGGAAAAGCGTCGAACGACCTGAATGTTGTTGAATATTCGTGTCAAACATTATACATGTTCATATTGTGTAGGCTATAGTGGGTTTAGCCTTAGGGGGTACAACATTGCTAGGGTTTCCTACTTGTATCACCCTGCTGCCTAGTTTCACACATTCTCGTTCAGTTCTACATTCTAACATGGTATCACGAGCCTAGGTTGCTACCTAGGACCGCTTTCTCCTACGGGCCCACTATTCCGCTAGAAGCGCCCTCGTGCGCCCTACCTTACGTGCGCCCTCGTGCGCCTTTCTATACTCGTGCGCCCTCGTGCGCCCTCGTGCGCCCTACCTTACGTGCGCCCTCGTGCGCCCCCGTGCGACCTGCCCTTCGGTCTGCCCGCGTGCCGTCCTGCAGCCCTCGCGCTGCCTCCTGCAAGCTAATACGGCCCCCGAGCCGCCCCTGCAGGTCCGTCAGGCCCCCGAGCCGCCTCTGCAGACCCGTCAGGCCCCCCCTTGAGCCGCCTCTGCAGGCCCGTCAGGCCCGAGAGCCGCCCCTGCAGCCAGCGCGCTGCCCTGCCGAGCCGCGTGTCGCCCGTGGGCGCTGCCTCTGCCCCGTCGCGCTGCCCTGAGGAGCCGCGCGCGACCCCCGCTATCCCGTCGCGTCGCCCTGGGGAGCCGCACTCGGCCCCCGCTGCCCCGTCGCGACGCCCTGGGGAGCCGCGCTCGGCCCCCGCTGCCCTGTCGCGACGTCCTGGGGAGCCGCGCTCGGCCCCCGCTGACCCGTCGCGACGCCCTAGGGAGCCGCGCGCGACCCCCCGCTGCCCCGTCGCGACGCCCTAGGGAGCCGCGCGCGGCCCCCCCCCCCGCTGCCCCGTCGCGGCGCCCTGGGGAGCCGCGCGCCCCCCCCCCCCCCCCCCCCCCCCCCCCCCCCCCCCCCCCCCCCCCCCCCCCCCCCTCGCTGCTGCCCGAGCCACCCTGCAGCCCGCGAGCCGCCTCTACAGCGCCGAGTGCGCTCGGCCAAACCCTAAAATATATAATTTATTATTAAAAAAAAAAAAAAAAAAAAAAAAAAGAGGGAGCAGCTGCCCCTGGCCCCTGGAGCAGCCGCCCCTGGAGCAGCCGCCCCTGCAGCAGCCGCTCCTGCAGCAGCCGCCCCTGCAGCAGCCGCCCCTGGACCTCTGCAGCCGCCCCTGGCCCCTGGAGAAGCCGCCCCTGCAGCTGCCGCGGAGCCCTCGCCCTGCAGTGGTAGCGGCCTCGCCGTTACCACCGTCGTACGCCTGCTCTTCTCGCCACTGGTGAGCACTGCCCTGCCCGTATTGCTGTTACTGCTGCTCCTGCTGCTACTGCTCTTTCTACTTCTACTGCTGCTCCTGGCGTGGCCAGATGCAGCTCCAGCGCCGTCCGCGTGAGTCCCTCACGCCCCAACAGCTTCGTGAGTGGTATGCTGGTTGGGGTTGTAGGGGTGGCCGCGCTGCTGCTACTACTACTGCTACTGCTGCTCCTGGCGGTGGCCAGATGCAGCTCCCGCGACGTCCGAGTGAGTCCCTCACGCCCCAGCAGCTTCGTGAGTGGTACGCTCAGCGTGGAGGGTCACGGGGTACTGCTCGCTGCCCGTACGTCATTCGCACTGGTGCTCGGACTGGTCAGCCTTGCGGGACGTTTGGTCACACAGAGTCCCGCTGCTTCGCCCGTCTGAGCGACGCCTGGCGTACAGAGTTTGGCGACGCGGCTGAGCTCCCCGACTGGGTGGAGCTGCTTAGGCAGAGGGTAGATATCTATGCTCTTGACTATGATGCTATCCTCACTGCCATGTATGCATTTCCTACTAGTGCTGAGAGTGCCTGTCACCTGTGTGTGCCGCCTGACCCCGGTATTCAGTCTGCTGCTCTAGGTACTGGTGAGGCTGCTGCACTAGGTGCTCGTGTGTCTGTTGCCCCAGGTGCTGGTGAGGCTGCTGCTCTAGGTACTCGTGAGTCTGCGCCCTCTGGTACTGCGTCTACTGAGGCACTGCACACCTTCACACTGGATTCAGGCGCTTCCCGCTGTTTCTTTCGTGACCGCACTGCCCTTGAGCAGCTTGCTCGGCCGGTTGCAGTCTCCCTCGCTGACCCCTCTGGGGGTCCGGTCATTGCGACCTCCTCTACTGTTCTCCCTTGTCCTGCGGTCCCGTCGGGCACTCTGTCAGGTCTCTACCTCCCCTCGTTCTCTACGAACTTGGTGGCGGGTAGTGCGCTCCAGGACGGGGGTGTCCACCAGTTTACCCCTGCCTACGAGCGTGTGACACACTGCACGTGCGCTCGGACGGGCCGCCACCTGGCTACCTTCACTCGGCAGCCGGGGTCGGACCTGTACACACTGACCACTGAGTCCCCTCAGGTAGCTGCGTCTGCGTCTGCGTCGGGTCAGCTGTCTGCCCCCTGCTCGTGTCGCTCTCTGGCACACGAGACTGTCCTCTGGCACCACCGTCTTGGTCACCCGTCAGTGCAGCACCTTCGTGCCATGCACAACCGGTACCTTGTCTCTGGTCTTCCCAGGGTTCTCCCTCCACTCCCACCCTCGCCTGCTCCTCCCTGCCTTCCCTGTGTCGAGGGGCGGCAGCGCGCCGCTCCTCACTCCTCCTCATTTCCCCCGACGACTGCTCCCTTGCAGACGCTCCACATGGACGTGTGGGGCCCAGCCCGCGTCCGTGGACAGGGTCAGGAGAGGTACTTCCTGATCGTTGTTGACGACTACTCGCGCTACACCACGGTCTTCCCCTTGCGCACCAAGGGTGAGGTCCCTGATGTTTTGATCCCTTGGATCCGCGCTGCTCGTCTCCAGCTCAGTGAGCGGTTCCACTCGGACTTTCCTGTCCTGCGTCTGCACTCTGACAGAGGTGGTGAGTTCTCCTCTGACCTCTTGGCAGCCTACTGTGCGGAGCACGGCATCCGCCAGTCGTTCACGCTTCCGGCCTCCCCACAGCAGAATGGGGTTGCTGAGCGCCGCATTGGTTTGGTCATGGAGGTCGCTCGTACCTCCTTGATCCATGCGGCTGCCCCCCACTTTCTGTGGCCGTTTGCGGTCCGATACGCTGCGCATCAGCTCAACCTCTGGCCCCGTGTCTCCGTTCCGGAGACTTCGCCGACACTGCGTTGGACGGGAGAGGTTGGCGATGCGTCGCGTTTTCGGGTCTGGGGGTCCCGAGCTTTTGTTCGCGATACGTTCGCGGACAAGCTCTCCTCCCGCGCTGTTCCCTGTGTCTTCCTTGGCTTTGTCCCGGACGCGTCTGGTTGGCAGTTTTACCACGCCACCTCGCGCCGTGTCCTGCCCTCTCAGGACGTCACTTTTGACGAGTCCGTGCCCTACTACCGCCTCTTCCCCTACCGCACTGCCCCGCTCCCCCCCCCGCCTCTCTTCCTCGCGCCAGGTGCTGCTGTGGTAGACCCCCTCCCCCCTCAGGGTGCCGCTCCCTCAGGTGTGTCCCAGGTAGACCCGGTTGAGCCTGTCGAGGTAGCTGTCGACTCTCGTCCTGCCAGGGGTGCTGAGCCTGAGCGTGCGGAGCCTGGGGTTGCGGAGTCTGGGGGTGCTGAGCCTGGGGGTGCAGGGTCTGGGGGTGCGGAGCCTGCGGGTGCTGAGTCTGGGGGTGCTGAGCCTGGGGGTGCGGAGCCTGCGGGTGCTGAGTCTGGAGGTGCTGAGCCTGGGGGTGCTGAGCCTGGGAGTGCTACGTCTGAGAGTACTGAGCCTGAGCGTGCTGCACCTGGGGGAGGCCTCTCCTCGCAGCAGCTGCGTGAGTGGTACTTACAGTACTGCAGCCTCAGGAGAGGTGCTTCTGGAGCTCGGAGTGGTGCCGGAGCTGGTGCTAGTGCTTCCCCTCCTAGGCGGGAGCTGCCCTCTCCCCAGCAGCTCCGAGAGTGGTACGCTAGGCGCTGCAGTCTCCGGAGTGGCGCTCCCGGTGTCGTGGACTCTGGAGCTTCTGGAGCTGCTGGAGGTGCTGCTGCTGCTGGCGGTGCGGCTGGCGCTGCTGGAGGTGCTGCTGGTGCTGCTGGCGCTGCTGGAGGTGCTACTGGTGCTGGAGCTACTGGAGCTGCTGGTGGTACTGCTGCTGCTGGCGGTGCTGCTGGCGCTGCTGGAGGTGCTGCTGGTACTGGTGCTGCTGGAGCTGCTGGAGGTGCTGCTGCTGCTGGTGGTGCTGCTGGCACTGCTGGAGGTGCTGCTGGTACTGGAGCTGCTGGGGACCCTGCTGCTGCTGGCGGTGCTGCTGGAGCTGCTGGGACTGGCCCTGCTGAGGGGGTTGGAGCTGGAGGTGCTGAGCGGCCACGGCCGTACTACGTTCCGCTCCTTCAGCAGGTTCTTGGCCTTCCGCCCTCTCCTGGTCCTACTCCTCCCCTACTGAGTCCACCGCTTGTCCAGTCGCAGTCACAGTTACAGCCTGTCTCTCCACTTCCTGGTCCTTCTCCCTACACTGCACCGACGGGAGGTCTTACGGAGCGTCGTGAGCCTGAGTCTCGTCCTCCGTCGCCTGAGACGCGTCCAGAGTCGCCTGTCCGCGCTGTCCGCGCTGGTCGTCGTGTTCCACGTCAGCGTCCTCCTCCTGTCCTTGGCACTCACTATATGACCCTTCGTCCCTCTACTGCTCCACAGCGTGTCCCACTGCCGTCTCCACCAGCGTCCTCTCTTCCTGCTCTTGCTGACCCGGAGTCTGACTCTCTTCGTGCTGCCAGTCCTACTGTCGCGCGTCTCCTTGCCACTGCTGTCACTGACCCTTCCTTTGAGTCCTCTGCTGCGTCTGCTCTAGTCGCTGAGCTTGTTGACTTTGCTGCTGCCTGTCGTCTAGACTACGCCGCTAGCCTTGTTGCTGAGTCTGAGTCTGAGTCTGTCTGTCCTCCGTCTGTCGGGGGTGAGTGTGCTCTTGGCACGGACGTCCTTGAGGACAGACAGGAGGAGTTTGAGTGCTTTGCCGCTGCTTTGCCTCATCTCGTGTCCATGCTAGTTGCCCCTGAGGGAGACCCGGATGCACCAGACATCCCGACCCCACGCTCCTACGCAGAGGCGATGGAGGGTCCCTACTCCTCTCAGTGGCAGACAGCCATGGACGCAGAGATGGCATCCTGGAAGTCCACAGGCACCTACGTCGACGAGGTTCCCCCACCTGGGGCGAACATCGTCAGTGGCATGTGGATTTTCAGGGTGAAGCGGCCGCCGGGTTCTCCGCCTGTCTTCAAGGCGCGTTACGTTGCACGAGGCTTCAGTCAGCGAGAGGGAGTTGACTTCTTTCAGACCTTCTCCCCGACCCCGAAGATGACCACTCTTCGGGTTCTGCTGCACGTCGCTGCTCAGCGTGACTACGAGCTCCACTCTCTTGACTTCAGCACTGCGTTCTTACAGGGCAGCCTGCACGAGGAGATCTGGCTGCGCCGCCCACCTGGCTTCACTGGGTCGTTCCCTCCTGGTACCCAGTGGAGCCTCCGGCGGCCAGTCTACGGTCTCCGCCAGGCACCCCGTGAGTGGCACGACACACTGAGGACTACTCTTGCTGCTCTTGGGTTTGCTCCTTCTACTGCTGACCCGTCGCTGTTTCTACGCACCGACACCACTCTGCCGCCGTTCTACGTTCTTGTTTACGTAGACGACTTGGTCTTTGCTACTGCTGACACTGAGGCACTCGCCCACGTGAAGTCGGAGCTGCAGAAGAGACATACGTGCACAGACCTGGGTGAGCTGACAAGCTATCTTGGCTTGCGGATCACCCGGGACAGAGCACAGCGCACCATCACCTTGACTCAGTCACACATGGTGCAGCAGGTCCTTCAGCGCTTCCGCTTCACGTACTCCTCGCCTCAGCCCACTCCTCTGCCTACCGGTCACTCGCTCTCAGCTCTGCCTTCGGATGAGTCCGTAGAGCCGAGTGGCCCGTATCCAGAGCTTGTGGGCTGCCTCATGTACCTGATGACCTGCACTCGACCTGACCTGGCATACCCTCTTAGCATCCTAGCACGCTATGTCGCTCCCGGCCGTCACCGGAAGGAGCACATGGATGCCGCTAAGAGGGTGTTGCGCTACTTGTGCAGTACGTCGGGCATGGGGCTCGTGCTTGGAGGTCGGAGCGACGTTGTCCTCACGGGTCACTCAGACGCTTCTTGGGCTGACGACCAGGCTACGCAGCGGTCGTCTCAGGGTTACACCTTCAGCCTTGGCTCTGGTTCAGTTTCTTGGCGTTCTACTCGCTCTTCTTCTGTTCTCAGCTCCAGTTGTGAGGCTGAGATCTACGCCACAGCCATGGCTGCACAGGAGTTACGCTGGCTCACCTACCTGCTGACCGACCTGGGAGAGCGGCCTCGTTCTCCTCCAGTGCTGTACGTTGACAACAAGGCCGCCATTGCCTTGTGTGAGGAGCACAGACTGGAGCACAGGACGAAGCACATCGCTCTGCGCTACTTCCTTGCTCGAGAGCTGCAGCAGCGTGGTCAGCTTCGTCTGCGTTACGTGGCCACTCGGGCCAACACTGCTGATGTGTTCACCAAGGCGCTTCAGCCTTGTGACCATCAGCGTTTCTGTACTGTTCTAGGCCTTGTGCCTACTCTCCCTCACTTGCTCACTTCTTGACTCTGCTTGTACTGTGATCTCTATATATATATACCTGCATGTTTACTCTTGTTAGGTTGTGATCACTGTACCTCTTGTTATATTATCAAACTGCATGTGAACTGGTCTTGTGACCACTTGCTTGTGCTCGGAATTTGTGTGGTTTCCTTGAGATCCACCCTGAGCTTGCTTTGCTTTGCTTTGACTGGTCTTGTGACCATCTGGTTGTCTCCCACTTAGCCTATGGGGGTGTGTCAAACATTATACATGTTCATATTGTGTAGGCTATAGTGGGTTTAGCCTTAGGGGGTACAACATTGCTAGGGTTTCCTACTTGTATCACCCTGCTGCCTAGTTTCACACATTCTCGTTCAATTCTACATTCTAACAATTCGGGTGGCCCATGCTTAAATACGCCCACTAGAGCAATTCTGGCTTGGTTCGCGCGCACAGAAAAGTTCGGCGTTTGCGATGACGGCCGCGCCTGCCGACAAACGCTAAGGAAGCGCATGGATCCCTACAGGCGTAGGGAAATACGCCGAACGACCTGAATTTTGTTGCATATTTGGGTGGCCCATGTTCAAATACACCCACCTGAGCAGTTCCGGCTTGGTTCGGGCGCACCGAAAAGTTCGGCACCTGCTATGATGGCTGCGCCTGCTGACAAATGCTAAGGAAGCGCATGGATCCCTGCAGGTGTAGGGAAAAGCGTCGAACCGACCTGAATGCTGTTGCATATTCAGGTGGCCCACGCTCAAATACACCCACCAGAGAAATCCGGCTTGGTTCACACGCACGGAAAAGTTCGGCGTTTGCGATGACGGCCGCGCCTGCCGACAAACGCTAAGGAAGCGCATGGATCCCTACAGGCGTACGGAAAACCATCGAACGACCTGAATGTTGTTGCATATTTGGGTGGCCCATGCTCAAATACACCCACCAGAGCAATTTCCGCTTGGTTCGCGCGTACAGAAAAGTTCGGCGCCTGCGATGACGGCCGCGCCTGCCGACAAACGCTAAGGAAGCGCATGGATCCTTATGGGCGTAGGGAAAAGTGTCAAACGACCTAAATGTTGTAGCATATTTGGGTGGCCCATGCTCAAATACACCCACCTGAGCAATTCCGGCTTGGTTCGGGCGCACCGAAAAGTTCGGCACCTGCGATGATGGCTGCGCCTGCTGACAAATGCTAAGGAAGCGCATGGATCCCTGCAGGTGTAGGGAAAAGCGTCGAACCGACCTGAATGCTGTTGCATATTCAGGTGGCCCACGCTCAAATACACCCACCAGAGAAATCCGGCTTGGTTCACACGCACGGAAAAGTTCGGCGCCTGCAACGACGGCCGCGCCTGCCGACAAACGCTAAGGAAGCGCATGGATCCCTATGGGCATGGGGAAAAGCGTCGAACGACCTGAATGTTGTTGCATATTTGGGTGGCCCATGCTTAAATACACCCACCTGAGCAATTCCGGCTTGGTTCGCACGCACATAAAAGTTCGGCGCCTACGATGACGGCCACGCCTGCCGACAAATGCTAAGGAAGCGCATGGATCCCTATGGGCGTAGAAAAAAGCGTCAAATGACCTGAATGTTGTTGCATATCCGGGTGGCTCATGCTCAAATACACCCACCAAGGCAATTCCGGCTTGGTTCGCGCGCACAGAAAAATTCGGCATATGCGATGACGGCCGCGCCTGCCCACAAACGCTAAGGAAGCGCATGGATCCCTACAGGCGTAGGGAAAAGCGTCAAACGACCTGAATGTTGTCGCATATTAGGGTGGCCCATGCTCACCTTAGCAATTCCGGCTTGGCTCGCGCGTACACAAAAGTTCGGCGCCTGCGATGACAGCCGCACCTCCCGACAAATGCTAAGGAAGTGCATGGATCCCTATGGGCGTAGGGAAAAGCGTCAAACGACTTGAATGTTGTTGCATATTCGGGTGGCCCATGCTCAATAACACCCACCTGACCAATTTCGGCTTGGTTCGCACGCACAGAAATGCTCGGCGCATGCGATGACGGCCGCGCCTGCCGACAAAAGCTAAAGAAGCGCATGGATCCCTACAGGCATAGGGAAAAGCGTCGAACGACCTGAATGTTGTTGCATATTTGGGTGGCCCATGCTCAAATACACCCACTTGAGCAATTCTGGCTTGGTTCGCGCGCACAGTAAAGTTCGGCGCCTGCGATGACGGCCGCGCCTACCGACAAATGCTTAAGAAGTGCATGGATCCCTACATGTGTAGGGAAAAACGTCGAACGACCTGAATATTGTTGCATATTCGGGTGGCACATGCTCAAATACACGCACCTGAGCAATTCCGGCTTGGTTCGCACGCACAGAAAAGTTTGGCGCCTGCAATGACGGCCCCACCTGCCGACAAATGCTTAGGAAGCGCATGAATCCCTACAGAGGCAACGACCTGAATGTTATTGCATATTCGGGTGGCCCATGCTCAAATACACCCACCTGAGCAATACTGGCTTAATTCGTGCGCACATAAAAGTTCAGCGCCTGCGATGTCGGCCGCGCCTGCCGACAAATGCTAAGGAAGTGCATGGATCCCTACAGGCGTAAGGAAAAGCGTCGAACGACCTGAATGTTGTTGCATATTCGGGTGGCCCATGCTCAAATACACCCAATTGAGCAATTCTGGCTTGGTTCGCGCGCACAGTAAAGTTCGGCGCCTGCGATGACGGCCGCGCCTACCGACAAATGTTAAAGAAGTGCATGGATCCATACATGTGTAGGGAAAAACGTCGAACGACCTGAATATTGTTGCATATTCGGGTGGCACATGCTCAAATACACGCACCTGAGCGATTCCAGCTTGGTTCGCATGCACAGAAAAGTTCGGCGCCTGCAATGACGGCCCCACCTGCCGACAAATGCTTAGGAAGCGCATGAATCCCTACAGAGGCAACGACCTGAATGTTGTTGCATATTCGGGTGGCCCATGCTCAAATACACCCACCTGAGCAATACTGGCTTAATTCGTGCGCACATAAAAGTTCAGCGCCTGCGATGTCGGCCGCGCCTGCCGACAAATGCTAAGGAAGTGCATGGATCCCTACAGGCGTAAGGAAAAGCGTCAAACGACCTGAATGTTGTTGCATATTCGGGTGGCCCATGCTCAAATACACCCACCTCAGCAATTTCGGCTTGGTTCGCGCGCACAAAAAAATTCGGCGCCTGCGATGACGGCCGCGTCTGTCGACAAACGCTAAGGAAGCGCATGGATCCCTATGGGCGTAGGGAAAAGCGTGGAATGACCTTAATGTTGTTGCATATTCGGGTGGCCCATGCTCATATACACCCACCAGAGCAATTCCGGCTTGGTTCGCGCGCACCGAAAAGTTCAGCGCCTGCGGTGACGGCCGCGCCTGCCGACAAACGCTAAGGAAGCGCATGGATCCCTATAGGCGTAGGGAAAAACGTCGAACGACTTGAATGTTGTTGCATATTCGGGTGGCCCATGCTCAAATACACCCACCTGACCAATTTCGGCTTGGTTCGCGCGCACAGAAAAGTTCGGAGCCTCCAATGACGGCCGCGCCTGCCGACAAATGCTAAGGAAGCGCATGGATCCCTATGGGCGTAGGGAAAAGCGTCGAATGACCTAAATATGTTGCATATTGGGGTGGTCCATGCTCAAATACACCCACCAGAGCAATTTCGGCTTGGTTCGTGCGCACGGAAAGGTTCCGCGTCTGGGATGACGGCCGCGCCTGCGGACAAATGCTAAGGAAGCGAATGGATCCCTATGGTCGTGGGAAAATGCGTCGAACGACCTGAATGTTGTTGCATATTCGGGTGGCCCGTGCTCAAATACACCCACCAGAGCAATTCCGACTTGGTTCGCGCGCACGGAAAAGTTCGGCGTCTGCGATGACGGCCGCGCCTGCTGACAAAAGCCAAGGAAGTGCATGGATCCCTACAGGCGTAGGGAAAAGCGTCAAATGACCTCAATGTTGTTGCATATTTGGGTGGCCCATGCTCAAGTAGCCAGAGCAATTCCGGCTTGGTTTGCGCAAACAAATAAGTTCGGCGCCTGCGATGACGGCCGCGTCTGCCGACAAACGCTAAGGAAGCGCATGGATCCCTACAGGCGTAGTGAAAAGCGTCGAACGCCTTGAATGTTGTTGCATGTTCGGGTGGCCCATGCTTCAATCCTGGCTTGGTTCGCGCGCACCGAAAAGTTCGGCGCCTGCCGACAAACGCTATGGAAGCGCATGGATTTCTATAGGCGTAGGGAAAAGCGTCGAACGACCTGAATGTTGTTGCATATTCGGGTTGCCCATGCATAAAATTCACCCACCAGAGAAATTCCGGCTTGGTTCGCGTGCATAGAAAAGTTCGGCGCCTGCGATGACGGTCGCTCTTTCCGTTAAACGCTAAGGAAGCGCATGGATCCCTATGGGCGTGGGGAAAAGCATCAAACGACCTGAATGTTGTTGCATATTCGGATGGCCCATGCTCAAATACACCCACTTGAGCAATTCCGGCTTGGTTCGAGGGCACCGAAAAGTTCGTCGCCTGAGATGACAGCCGCGCCTGCCGACAAACGCTAAGGAAGCGCATGGATCCCTACAGGCGCAGGGAAAAGCGTCGAACGACCTGAATGTTGTTGCATATTCGGGTGGCCTATGCTTAAAAACATCTACCAGAGCAATTTTGGCTTGGTTCGCGCGCACAGAAAAGTTCGGTGCCTGCGATGACGGCCGCACTTGCCGACAAACGCTAAGGAAGCGCATGGATCCTTATGGGCGTAGGGAAAAGCGTCAAACGACCTGAATGTTGTTGCATATTCGGGTGGCCCATGCTCGAATACACCCACCAGAGCAATTCCGCCTTGGTTCGCGCGCACAGAAAAGTTCGGCGTTTGCGATGACGGCCGCGCCTGCCGACAAACGCTATGGAAGCGCATGGATCCCTGGAGGCATAGGGAACAGCGTCAAACGACCTGAATGTTGTTGCATATTCAGGTGGCTCATGCTCAAATACACCCACCTAAGCAATGTTGGCTTGGTTCGCGCGCACTGAAAAGTTTGGCGCCTGCGATGACGGCCGCGCCTGCCGACAAACGCTAAGGAAGCGCATGGATCCCTACAGGCGTAGGGAAAAGCGTGGAACGACCTGAATGGTGCTGCATAGTCGGGTGGCCCATGCTCAAATACACCCACCAGAGCAATTCCCTATTGGTTCGCACGCACAGAAAAGTTCGGCGTTTGTGATGACGGCCGCGCCTGCCGACAAACGCTAAGGAAGCGCATGGATCCCTAGAGGCGTATGGAACAGCGTCAAATGACCTGAATGATGTTGCATATTCGGGTGGCTCATGCTCAAATACACCCACCTGAGCAATTCCGGCATGGTTCGCGCGCACCGAAAAGTTTGGCGCCTGCGATGACGGCCGCGCCTGCCGACAAACGCTAAGGAAGCGCATGGATCCCTATGGGCGTAAGGAAAAGCGTTGAACGGCCTGAATGTTGTTGCATATTCGGGTGGCTCGTGGTAAAAAACACCCACCATAGCAATTCCGGCATGGTTCGCGCGCACATAAAAGTTTGGCGCCTGTGATGACGGCCGCGCCTGCCGACAAACGCTAAGGAAGCGCATGGATCCCTATGGGCGTAAGGAAACGCGTTGAACGACCTGAATGTTGTTACATATTTGGGTGGCCCATGCTCAAATAAACCCACCTGAGCAATTCCGGCGTGGTTCGCGCGCACGAATAAGTTCGGCGCCTACGATGAGGGCCGCGCCTGCCGACAAACGCTAAGGAAGCGCATGGATCCCTATGGGCGTAGGGAAAAGCGTCAAACGACCTGAATGTTGTTGCATATTCGGGTGGCTCATGCTCAAATACACCCACCTGAGCAATTCCGGCTTGGTTCGCGCGCACAGAAAAGTTCGGTGTTTGTGATGATGGCCGCGCCTGCCGACAAACGCCAAGGAAGCGCATGGATCCATATGGGCGTGGGGAAAAGCGTCAAACAGCCTGAATGTTGTTGCATTTTCGGGTGCCCCATGCTCAAATACACCCACCAGAGCAATTTCGGCTTTGTTCGCGCGTACATAATAGTTCGGCTCCTGCGATGGCGGTCGCGCTTGCCGACAAATGCTAAGGAAGCGCATGGATCCGTACAGGCGTAGGGAAAGGCGTCTAACGACCTGAATGTTGTTGCAATTTCGTGATGCTCAAACACACCCTCCAGAGCAATTTCGGCTTGGTTCGCACGAACAGAAAATTTCGGCGTTTGCGATAACGGCCGCGCAAGCCGACAAACGCTAAGGAAGCGCATGGGTCCCTACAGGCATAGGGAAAACCATCGAACGACCTGAATGTTGTTGCATATTTGGGTGGCCCATGCTCAAATACACCCTCAAGAGCAATTCCGGCTTGGTTCGCGCGCACTGAAATGTTCGGCGTTTGCGATGGCGGCCGCTTCTGCGGACAAACGCTAAGGAAGCGCATGGATCCCTATGGGCGTCGGGAAAAGCGTCGAACGACCTGAATGTTGTTGCATAATCGGGTGGCCCATGCTCAAATACACCCACAAGATCAATTTCGGCTTGGTTCGCGCGCACAGAAAAGTTCGGCGTTTGCAATGCCGGCCACGCCTGCCAACAAATGCAAAGGAAGCGCATGGATCTTTATGGGCGTAGGGAAAAGTGTCGAACGACCTAAATTTGTTTCATATTTGGGTGGCCCATGCTCAAAGAGAGAATGGGGCGGGGTGATGAAAAGAGAGAGAATGGGGCGGGGTGATGGAGGGAGAATGGGGTGGGGTGATGGAAAGCGGGAGAATTGGGCGGGGTGATGGAAAGCAAGAGAATGGGGCGGGGTGATGGAAAGAGGGAGAATGGGGCAGGGTGATGAAAGGAGGGAGAATGGGGCGGGGTGATGGAAAGTGGGAGAATGGGGCGGGGTGATGGAAAGCGGGAGAATGGGGGGGGGTGATGGAAAGCGGGAGAATGGGGCGGGGTGATGGAAAGCGGGAGAATGGGGCGGGGTGATGGAATGCGGGAGAATCGGGCGGGGTGATGGAAAGCGGGAGAATGGGGCGGGGTGCTGGAAAGCGGGAGAATGGGGCGAGGTGATGGAAAGCGGGAGAATGGGGCGGGGTGCTGGAAAGCGGGAGAATGGGGCAGGGTGATGGAAAGAGGGAGAATGGGGCGGGGTGATGGAAAGCGGGAGAATGGGGCGGGGTGATTGAAAGAGGGAGAATGGGGCGGGGTGATGGAAAGAGGGAGAATGGGGCGGGGTGATGGAAAGAGGGAAAATGGGGCGGGGTGATGGAAAGCGGGTGAATGGGGCGGGGTGATGGAAAGCGGGAGAATGGGGGGTGTGATGGAAAGCGGGAGAATGGGGCGGGGTGATGGAAAGCGGGAGAATGGAGCGGGGTGATGGAAAGCGGGAGAATGGGGTGGGGTGATGGAAAGCGGGAGAATGGGGCGGGGTGATGGAAAGCGGGAGAATCGAGCGGGGTGATGGAAAGCGGGAGAATGGGGCGGGGTGATGGAAAGCGGGAGAATGGGGCAGGGTTATGGAAAGAGGGAGAAGGGGGCGGGGTGATGGAAAGCGGGAGAATGGGGTGGGGTTATATAAAGAGGGAGAACGGGGTGGGATGATGGAAAGAGGGAGAACGGGGCGGGGTGATGGAAAGAGGGAGAACGTGGCGGGGTGATGGAAAGCAGGAGAACGGGGCGGGGTGATGGAAAGCGGGAGAATGGGGCGGGGTGATGGAAAGTGGGAGAATGGGGCGGGGTGATGGAAAGAGGGAGAATGGGGCGGGGTGATGGAAAGCGGGACAATGGGGCGGGGTGATGGAAAGCGGGAGAATGGGGCGGGGTGATGGAAAGAGGGAGAATGGGGCGGGGTGATGGAAAGCGGGAGAATGGGGCAGGGTGATGGAAAGCGGGAGAATGGGGCGGGGTGATGGAAAGAGGGAGAATCGGGCGGGGTGATCGAAAGCGGGAGAATGCGGCGGGGTGCTGGAAAGCGGGAGAATGGGGCGGGGTGATGGAAAGCGGGAGAATCGGGCGGGGTGATGGAAAGCGGGAGAATGGGGCGGGGTGCTTGAAAGTGGGAGAATGGGGCGGGGTGATGGAAAGCGGGAGAATGGGGCGGGGTGATGGAAAGCGGGAGAATGGGGCGGGGTGATGGAAAGCGGGAGAATGGGGCGGGGTGATGGAAAGCGGGAGAATGGGGCGGGGTGATGGAAAGGGGAGAATGGGGTGGGGTGGTGGAAAGCGGGAGAATAGGGCGGGGTTATGGAAAGAGGGAGAATGGGGCGGGGAGATGGAAAGAGGGAGAACGGGGCGGGGTGATGGAAAGCGGGAGAACGGGGCGGGGTGATGGAAAGAGGGAGAATGGGGCGCGGTGATGGAAAGAGGGAGAGTGGGGCAGGGTGGTGGAAAGAGGGAGAATGGGGCGGGGTGATGGAAAGCGGGAGACTGGGGCGGCGTGATGGAAAGCGGGAGAATGGGGCGGGTGATGGAAAGCGGGAGAATGGGGCGGGGTGATGGAAAGCGGGAGAATGGGGCGGGGTGATGGAAAGCGGGAGAATGTGGCGGGGTGATGGAAAGCGGGAGAATGGAGCAGGTGATGGAAAGAGGGAGAATGGGGCAGGGTGATGGAAAGCGGGAGAATGGGGCGGGGTGATGAAAAGGGGGAGAATCGGGCGGGTGATGGAAAGCGGGAGAACGGGGCGGGGTGATGGAAAGAGGGAGAATGGGGCGGGGTGATGGAAAGCGGGAGAATGGGGCGGGGAGATGGAAAGCGGGAGAATGGAGTGGGTGATGGAAAGCGGGAGAATGGGGCGGGGTGATGGAAAACGGGAGAATGGGGCGGGGTGATGGAAAGCGGGAGAATGGGGCGGGGTGATGGAAAGCGGGAGAATGGGGTGGAATGATGGAAAGCGGGAAAATGGGGCGGGGTGATGGAAAGCGGGAGAATGGGGCGGGGTGATGGAATGCGGGAGAATCGAGCGGGGTGATGGAAAGCGGGAGAATGGGGCGGGGTGGTGGAAAGCGGGAGAATGGGGCGGGGTGATGGAAAGCGGGAGAATGGGGCGGGGTGCTGGAAAGCGGGAGAATGGGGCGGGGTGATGGAAAGAGGGAGAATGGGGCGGGGTGATGGAAAGCGGGAGAATGGGGCGGGGTGATTGAAAGAGGGAGAATGGAGTGGGGTGATGGAAAGAGGGAGAATGGGGCGGGGTGATGGAAAGAGGGAAAATGGGGCGGGGTGATGGAAAGCGGGTGAATGGGGCGGGGTGATGGAAAGCGGGAGAATGGGGGGTGTGATGGAAAGCGGGAGAATGGGGCGGGGTGATGGAAAGCGGGAGAATGGGGCGGGGTGATGGAAAGCGGGAGAATGGGGTGGGGTGATGGAAAGCGGGAGAATGGGGCGGAGTGATGGAAAGCGGGAGAATCGGGCGGGGTGATGGAAAGCGGGAGAATGGGGCGGGGTGATGGAAAGCGGGAGAATGGGGCAGGGTTATGGAAAGAGGGAGAACGGGGCGGGGTGATGGAAAGCGGGAGAATGGGGTGGGGTTATAGAAAGAGGGAGAACGGGGCGGGGTGATGGAAAGAGGGAGAACGTGGCGGGGTGATGGAAAGCGGGAGAATGGGGCGGGGTGATGGAAAGGGGGAGAATGGGGCGGGGTGATGGAAAGAGGGAGAATGGGGCGGGGTGATGGAAAGCGGGAGAATGAGGCGGGGTGATGGAAAGCGGGAAAATGGGGCGGGGTGATGGAAAGCGGGAGAATGGGGCGGGTGATGGAAAGCGGGAGAATGGGGCGGGGTGATGGAAAGAGGGAGAATGGGGCGGGGTGATGGAAAGCAGGAGAATGGGGCGGGTGATGGAAAGCGGGAGAATGGGGCGGGGTGATGGAAAGAGGGAGAATGGGGCGGGGTGATGGAAAGAGGGAGAATGGGGCGGGGTGATCGAAAGCGGGAGAATGGAGCGGGTGATGGAAAGTGGGAGAATGGGGTGGGGTGATGGAAAGAGGGAGAATGGGGCGGGGTGATCGAAAGCGGGAGAATGGGGCGGGGTGATGGAAAGCGGGAGAATGGGGCGGGGTGATGGAAAGAGGGAGAATGGGGCGGGGTGATGGAAAGCGGGAGAATGGGGCGGGGTGATGGAAAACGGGAGAATGGGGCGGGGTGATGGAAAGCGGGAGAATGGGGCGGGGTGACGGAAAGCGGGAGAATGGGGTGGAATGATGGAAAGCGGAAAAATGGGGCGGGGTGATGGAAAGCGGGAGAATGGGGCGGGGTGACGGAATGCGGGAGAATCGAGCGGGGTGATGGAAAGCGGGAGAATGGGGCGGGGTGCTGGAAAGCGGGAGAATGGGGCGGGGTGATGGAAAGCGGGAGAATGGGGCGGGGTGCTGGAAAGCGGGAGAATGGGGCGGGGTGATGGAAAGAGGGAGAATGGGGCGGGGTGATGGAAAGCGGGAGAATGGGGCGGGGTGATGGAAAGAGGGAGAATGGGGCGGGGTGATCGAAAGAGGGATAATGGAGCGGGGTGATGGAAAGCGGGAGAATGGGGCGGGGTGATGGAAAGCAGGAGAATAGGGCGGGGTGATGGAAAGCGGGAGAATGGGGCGGGGTGATGGAAAGCGGGAGAATGGAGCGGGTGATGGAAAGCGGGTGAATGGGGCGGGGTGATGGAAAGAGGGAGAATGGTGCGGGGTGATGGAAAGCGGGAGAATGGGGCGGGTGATGGAAAGCGGGAGAATAGGGTGGGGTGATGGAAAGCGGGAGAATGGGGCGGGGTGATGGAAAGCAAGAGAATGGGGCGGGGTGATGGAAAGAGGAAGAATCGGGCGGGATGATGGAAAGCGGGAGAATGGGGCGGGGTGCTGGAAAGCGGGAGAATGGGGCGGGGTGATGGAAAACAGGAGAATGGGGCGGGGTGATGGAAAGCGGGAGAATGGGGCGGGGTGATGGAAAGCGGGAGAATGGGGCGGGGTGATGGAAAGCGGGAGAATGGGGCGGGGTGATGGAAAGAGGGAGAAAGGGGCGGGGTGATGGAATGAGGGAGAACGGGGCGGGGTGATGGAAAGAGGGAGAACGGGGCGGGGTGATGGAAAGCGGGAGAATGGGGCGGGGTGATGGAAAGAGGGAGAATGGGGCGGGGTGATGGAAAGAGGGAGAATGGGGCGGGGTGATGGAAAGAGGGAGAATGGGGCGGGGTGATCGAAAGAGGGATAATGGGGCGGGGTGATGGAAAGCGGGAGAATGGGGCGGGGTGATGGAAAGCGGGAGAATAGGGCGGGGTGATGGAAAGCGGGAGAATGGGGCGGGGTGATGGAAAGCGGGAGAATGGAGCGGGTGATGGAAAGCGGGTGAATGGGGCGGGGTGATGGAAAGAGGGAGAATGGTGCGGGGTGATGGAAAGCGGGAGAATGGGGCGGGGTGATGGAAAGCGAGAGAATGGGCGGGGTGATGGAAAGAGGGAGATTCGGGCGGGGTGATGGAAAGCGGGAGAATGGGGCGGGGTGCTGGAAAGCGGGAGAATGGGGCGGGGTGATGGAAAACAGGAGCATGGGGCGTGGTGATGGAAAGCGGGAGAATGGGGCGGGGTGATGGAAAGCGGGAGAATGGGGCGGGGTGATGGAAAGCGGGAGAATGGGGCGGGGTGATGGAAAGCGGGAGAATGGGGCGGGGTGATGGAAAGCAGGAGAATGGGGCGAGGTGATGGAAAGCGGGAGAATGGGGCGGGGTGATGGAAAGCGGGAGAATGGGGCGGGGTGATGGAAAGCGGGAGAATGGGGCGGGGTGATGGAAATCGGGAGAATGGGGCGGGTGATGGAAAGCGGGAGAATGGGGCGGGGTGATGTAAAGAGGGAGAATGGGGCGGGGTGATGGAAAGCGGGAGAATGGGGCAGGGTGATGGAAAACGGGAGAATGGGGCGGGGTGATGGAAAGCAGGAGAATCGGGCGGGGTGATGGAAAGCGGGAGAATGGGGCGGGGTGATGGAAAGCGGGAGAATTGGGCGGGGTGATGGAAAGAGGGAGAATGGGGCGGGGTGATGGAAAGCGGGAGAATGGGGCGGGGTGATGGAAAACGGGAGAATGGGGCGGGGTGATGGAAAGCAGGAGAATCGAGCGGGGTGATGGAAAGCGGGAGAATGGGGCGGGGTGCTGGAAAGTGGGAGAATGGGGCGGGGTGATGGAAGGTGGGAGAATGGGGCGGGTCGATGGAAAGCGGGAGAATGGGGCGGGGAGATGGAAAGCGGGAGAATGGGGCGGGGTGATGGAAAGAGGGAGAATGGGGCAGGGTGATGGAAAGAGGGAGAATGGGGCGGGGTTATGGAAAGAGGGAGAATGGGGCGGGGTGATGGAAAGCGAGAGAATGGGGAGGGGTGATGGAAAGAGGGAGAATCGGGCGGGGTGATGGAAAGCGGGAGAATGGGGCGGGGTGCTGGAAAGCGGGAGAATGGGGCGGGGTGATGGAAAACAGGAGAATGGGGCGTGGTGATGGAAAGCGGGAGAATGGGGCGTGGTGATGGAAAGCGGGAGAATGGGGCGGGGTGATGGAAAGACGGAGAATGGGGCGGGGTGATGGAAAGCAGGAGAATGAGGCGGGGTGATGGAAAGCGGGAGAAAGGGGCGGGGTGATGGAAAGCGAGAGAATGGGGCGGGGTGCTGGAAAGCGGGAGAATGGGGCGGGGTGATGGAAAGCGGGAGAATGGGGCGGGGTGATGGAAAGCGGGAGAATGGGGCGGGGTGATGGAAAGCGGGAGAATGGGGCGGGGTGATGGAAAGCGGGAGAATGGAGCGGGTGATGGAAAGCGGGAGAATGGGGCGGGGTGATGGAAAGCGGGAGAATGGAGCGGGTGATGGAAAGCGGGAGAATGGGGCGGGGTGATGGAAAGAGGGAGAATGGGGCGGGGTGATGGAAAGCGGGAGAATGGGGCGGGGTGATGGAAAGCGGGAGAATTGGGCGGGGTGATGGAAAGAGGGAGAATGGGGCGGGGTGATGGAAAGCGGGAGAATGGGGCGGGGTGATGGAAAACGGGAGAATGGGGCGGGGTGATGGAAAGCGGGAGAATCGGGCGGGGTGATGGAAAGCGGGAGAATGGGGCGGGGTGATGGAAAGAGGGAGAATGGGGCAGGGTGATGGAAAGAGGGAGAATGGGGCGGGGTTATGGAAAGAGGGAGAATGGGGCGGGGTGATGGAAAGCGAGAGAATGGGGAGGGGTGATGGAAAGAGGGAGAATCGGGCGGGGTGATGGAAAGCGGGAGAATGGGGCGGGGTGCTGGAAAGCGGGAGAATGGGGCGGGGTGATGGAAAACAGGAGAATGGGGCGTGGTGATGGAAAGCGGGAGAATGGGGCGTGGAGATGGAAAGCGGGAGAATGGGGCGGGGTGATGGAAAGAGGGAGAATGGGGCGGGGTGATGGAAAGCGGTAGAATGAGGCGGGGTGATGGAAAGCGGGAGAAAGGGGCGGGGTGATGGAAAGCGAGAGAATGGGGCGGGGTGCTGGAAAGCGGGAGAATGGGGCGGGGTGATGGAAAGCGGGAGAATGGGGCGGGGTGATGGAAAGCGGGAGAATGGGGCGGGGTGATGGAAAGTGGGAGAATGGGGCAGGGGTGATGGAAAGCGGGAGAATGGAGCGGGTGATGGAAAGCGGGAGAATGGGGCGGGGTGATGGAAAGAGGGAGAATGGGGCGGGGTGATGGAAAGCGGGAGAATGGAGCGGGTGATGGAAAGCGGGAGAATGGGGCGGGGTGATGGAAAGAGGGAGAATGGGGCGGGGTGATGGAAAGCGGGAGAATGGGGCGGGGTGATGGAAAGCGGGAGAATTGGGCGGGGTGATGGAAAGAGGGAGAATGGGGCGGGGTGATGGAAAGCGGGAGAATGGGGCGGGGTGATGGAAAACGGGAGAATGGGGCGGGGTGATGGAAAGCGGGAGAATCGGGCGGGGTGATGGAAAGCGGGAGAATGGGGCGGGGTGATGGAAAGAGGGAGAATGGGGCAGGGTGATGGAAAGAGGGAGAATGGGGCGGGGTTATGGAAAGAGGGAGAATGGGGCGGGGTGATGGAAAGCGAGAGAATGGGGAGGGGTGATGGAAAGAGGGAGAATCGGGCGGGGTGATGGAAAGCGGGAGAATGGGGCGGGGTGCTGGAAAGCGGGAGAATGGGGCGGGGTGATGGAAAACAGGAGAATGGGGCGTGGTGATGGAAAGCGGGAGAATGGGGCGTGGAGATGGAAAGCGGGAGAATGGGGCGGGGTGATGGAAAGAGGGAGAATGGGGCGGGGTGATGGAAAGCGGTAGAATGAGGCGGGGTGATGGAAAGCGGGAGAAAGGGGCGGGGTGATGGAAAGCGAGAGAATGGGGCGGGGTGCTGGAAAGCGGGAGAATGGGGCGGGGTGATGGAAAGCGGGAGAATGGGGCGGGGTGATGGAAAGCGGGAGAATGGGGCGGGGTGATGGAAAGTGGGAGAATGGGGCAGGGTGATGGAAAGCGGGAGAATGGAGCGGGTGATGGAAAGCGGGAGAATGGGGCGGGGTGATGGAAAGAGGGAGAATGGGGCGGGGTGATGGAAAGCGGGAGAATGGGGCGGGGTGATGGAAAGCGGGAGAATTGGGCGGGGTGATGGAAAGAGGGAGAATGGGGCGGGGTGATGGAAAGCGGGAGAATGGGGCGGGGTGATGGAAAACGGGAGAATGGGGCGGGGTGATGGAAAACGGGAGAATGGGGCGGGGTGATGGAAAGCGGGAGAATCGGGCGGGGTGATGGAAAGCGGGAGAATGGGGCGGGGTGCTGGAAAGTGGGAGAATGGGGCGGGGTGATGGAAGGTGGGAGAATGGGGCGGGCTGATGGAAAGCGGGAGAATGGGGCGGGGTGATGGAAAGCGGGAGAATGGGGCGGGGTGATGGAAAGAGGGAGAATGAGGCAGGGTGATGGAAAGAGGGAGAATGGGGCGGGGTTATGGAAAGAGGGAGAATGGGGCGGGGTGATGGAAAGCGAGAGAATGGGGAGGGGTGATGGAAAGAGGAAGAATCGGGCGGGGTGATGGAAAGCGGGAGAATGGGGCGGGGTGCTGGAAAGCGGGAGAATGGGGCGGGGTGATGGAAAACAGGAGAATGGGGCGTGGTGATGGAAAGCGGGAGAATGGGGCGTGGTGATGGAAAGCGGGAGAATGGGGCGGGGTGATGGAAAGAGGGAGAATGGGGCGGGGTGATGGAAAGCGGGAGAATGAGGCGGGGTGATGGAAAGCGGGAGAAAGGGCCGGGGTGATGGGAAGCGAGAGAATGGGGCGGGGTGCTGGAAAGTGGTAGAATGGGGCGGGGTGATGGAAAGCGGGAGAATGGGGCGGGGTGATGGAAAGCGGGAGAATGGGGCGGGGTGATGGAAAGCGGGAGAATGGGGCGGGGTGATGGAAAGCGGGAGAATTGAGCGGGTGATGGAAAGCGGGAGAATGGGGCGGGGTGATGGAAAGAGGGAGAATGGGGCGGGGTGATGGAAAGCGGGAGAATGGGGCGGGGTGATGGAAAGCGGGAGAATTGGGCGGGGTGATGGAAAGAGGGAGAATGGGGCGGGGTGATGGAAAGCGGGAGAATGGGGCGGGGTGATGGAAAACGGGAGAATGGGGCGGGGTGATGGAAAGCGGGAGAATCGGGCGGGGTGATGGAAAGCGGGAGAATGGGGCGGGGTGCTGGAAAGCGGGAGAATGGGGCGGGGTGATGGAAAGTGGGAGAATGGGGCGGGCCGATGGAAAGCGGGAGAATGGGGCGGGGTGATGGAAAGCGGGAGAATGGGGCGGGGTGATGGAAAGAGGGAGAATGGGGCCGGGTGATGGAAAGAGGGAGAATGGGGCGGGGTGATGGAAAGCGGGAGAATGGGGCGGGGTGATGGAAAGCGAGAGAATGGGGCGGGGTGCTGGAAAGCGGGAGAATGGGTCGAGGTGATGGAAAGCGAGAGAATGGGGCGGGGTGCTGGAAAGCGGGAGAATGGGTCGAGGTGATGGAAAGCGGGAGAATGGGGCGGGGTGATGGAAAGCGGGAGAATGGGGCGGGGTGATGGAAAGCGGGAGAATGGGGCGGGTGATGGAAAGCGGGAGAATGGGGCGGGGTGATGGAAAACGGGAGAATGGGGCGGGGTGATGGAAAGCGGGAGAATCGGGCGGGGTGATGGAAAGCGGGAGAATCGGGCGGGGTGATGGAAAGCGGGAGAATGGGGCGGGGTGATGGAAAGCGGGAGAATGGGGCGGGGTGATGGAAAACGGGAGAATGGGGCGGGGTGATGGAAAGCGGGAGAATCGGGCGGGGTTATGGAAAGCGGGAGAATCGGGCGGGGTGATGGAAAGCGGGAGAATGGGGCGGGGTGCTGGAAAGCGGGAGAATGGGGTGGGGTGATGTAAAGTGGGAGAATGAGGCGGGCCGATGGAAAGCGGGAGAATGGGGCGGGGTGATGGAAAGCGGGAGAATGGGGCGGGGTGATGGAAAGAGGGAGAATGGGGCAGGGTGATGGAAAGAGGGAGAATGGGGCGGGGTTATGGAAAGAGGGAGAATGGGGCGGGGTGATGGAAAGCGGGAGAATGGGGCGGGGTGATGGAAAGCGAGAGAATGGGGCGGGGTGCTGGAAAGCGGGAGAATGGGTCGAGGTGATGGAAAGCGGGAGAATGGGGCGGGGTGATGGAAAGCGGGAGAATGGGGCGGGGTGATGGAAAGAGGGAGAACGGGGCGGGTGATGGAAAGCGGGAGAATGGGGCGGGGTGATGGAAAGCGGGAGAATGGGGCGGGGTGATGGAAAGCGGGAGAATGGGGCGGGGTGCTGGAAAGCGGAAGAATGGGGCGGGGTGATGGAAAGAGGGAGAATGGGGCGGGGTGATGGAAAGCGGAAGAATGGGGCAGGGTGATGGAAAGCGGGAAAATGGGGCAGGGTGATGGAAAGCGGGAGAATGGGGCGGGGTGATGGAAAGCGGGAGAATGGGGCGGGGTGCTGGAAAGCGGAAGAATGGGGCGGGGTGATGGAAAGAGGGAGAATGGGGCGGGGTGATGGAAAGCGGAAGAATGGGGCGGGGTGATGGAAAGCGGGAGAACGGGGCGGGTGATGGAAAGCGGGAGAATGGGGCGGGGTGATGGAAAGCGGGAGAATGGGGCGGGGTGATGGAAAGAGGGAGAATGGGGCAGGGTGATGGAAAGAGGGAGAATGGGGCGGGGTTATGGAAGGAGGGAGAATGGGGCGGGGTGATGGAAAGCAGGAGAATGGGGCGGGGTGATGGAAAGCGAGAGAATGGGGCGGGGTGCTGGAAAGCGGGAGAATGGGGCGAGGTGATGGAAAGCGGGAGAATGGGGCGGGGTGATGGAAAGCGGGAGAATGGGGCGGGGTGATGGAAAGCGGGAGAATGGGGCGGGGTGATGGAAAGCGGGAGAATGGGGCGGGTGATGGAAAGCGGGAGAATGGGGCGGGGTGATGTAAAGAGGGAAAATGGGGCGGGGTGATCGAAAGCGGGAGAATGGGGCGGGGTGATGGAAAGCGGGAAAATGGGGCAGGGTGATGGAAAGTGGGAGAATGGGGCGGGGTGATGGAAAGCGGGAGAATGGGGCGGGGTGCTGGAAAGCGGAAGAATGGGGCGGGGTAATGGAAAGAGGTAGAATAGGGTGGGGTGATGGAAAGCGGAAGAATGGGGCAGGGTGATGGAAAGAGGGAGAATGGGGCGGGGTGATGGAAAGCGGAAGAATGGGGCGGGGTGATGGAAAGCGGGAGAACGGGGCGGGTGATGGAAAGCGGGAGAATGGGGCGGGTGATGGAAAGCGGGAGAATGTGGCGGGGTGATGGAAAGAGGGAGTTTGGGGCGGAGTGATGGAAAGCGGGAGAATGGGGCGGGGTGATGGAAAGCGGGAGAATGGGGCGGGGTGATGGAAAACGGGAGAATGGGGCGGGGTGATGGAAAGCGGGAGAATCGGGCGGGGTGATGGAAAGCGGGAGAATGGGGCGGGGTGATGGAAAGCGGGAGAATGGAGCGGGTGATGGAAAGCGGGAGAATGGGGCGGGGTGATGGAAAGAGGGAGAATGGGGCGGAATGATGGAAAGCGGGAGAATGGGGCGGGGTGATGGAAAGCGGGAGAATGGGGCGGGGTGATGGAAAGCGGGAGAATGGGGCGGGGTGATGGAAAGCGGGAGAATGGGGCGGGGTGATGGAAAGCGGGAGAATGGGGCGGGTGATGGAAAGCGGGAGAATGGGGCGGGGGTGATGTAAAGAGGGAGAATGGGGCAGGGTGATGGAAAGAGGGAGAATGGGGCGGGGTTATGGAAAGAGGGAGAATGGGGCGGGGTGATGGAAAGCGGGAGAATGGGTCGGGATGATGGAAAGCGGGAGAATGGGGCGGGGTGATGGAAAGAGGGAGAAAGGGGCGGGTGATGGAAAGCGGGAGAATGAGGCGGGTGGGTGATGGAAAGCGGGAGAAAGGGGCGGGGTGATGGAAAGCGAGAGAATGGGCGGGGTGCTGGAAAGCGGGGAGAATGGGGCGGGGTGATGGAAAGCGGGAGAATGGGGCGGGGTGATGGAAAGCGGGGAGAATGGGGCGGGAGATGGAAAGCGGGAGAATGGGGCGGGGTGATGGAAAGCGGGAGAATGGAGCGGGTGATGGAAAGCGGGAGAATGGGGCGGGGTGATGGAAAGCGGGAAAAGGGGCGGGTGATGGAAAGCGGGAGAATGGGGCGGGGTGATGGAAAGCGGGAGAAGGGGCGGGTTGATGGAAAGCGGGAGAAAAGGGCGGGGTAATGGAAAGCGGGAGAATGGGGCGGGGTGATGGAAAGCGGGAGAATCGGGCGGGGTGATGGAACGCGGGAGAGTCGGGCGGGGTGCTGGAAAGCGGGAGAATGGGGCGGGGTGATGGAAAGAGGGAGAATGGGGCGGGGTGCTGGAAAGCGGGGGAATGGGCGGGGTGCTGGAAAGCGGGGGAATGGGGCGGGTGATGGAAAAGGGGAGAATGGGGCAGGGTGATGGAAAGCGGGAGAATGGGGCGGGGTGATGGAAAGCGGGAGAATGGGGCGGGGTGATGGAAAGAGGGAAATGGGGCGGGGTGATGGAAAGCGGGAGAATGGGGCGGGGTGATGGAAAGCGGGAGAATGGGGCGGGGTGATGGAAAGCGG